ACCCCCCCCAATCCTTCTCCTCCACCCCCACCTGCTCTCCACCTCCTCCACCGTCTCGGGCAGTGCCATGTCCCGCGTCTCTGGCAGGAAGATGGCCACCAAGCCTGCCACCACGGGGGCCACCCCGTAGATGATGAAGGGCAACGCGGGGAAGACCTCGCCTCCCATCTTCACCAAGGGGGCCGTGATGCTGCCCAGGCGGGCCATGGTGTTGGCCAACCCCATACCTGTCTGCCTGTGGGACACCGAGGGGACATGAGGGACACTGAGGGGCTCTGAGGGACACCAAGGGGTTCTGAGGGACACCAAGGGACCCTGAGGGACAAGGGATCCCCCTGGGGGACACTGAGGGGCCCTGAGGGACAACAAGGGATCCTGAGGGACACCAAGGGGCTGTGGGACACTGAGGGACCCTGTGGGACACCAAGAGGATCTGAGGGACACTATGGGGCCCTGATGGACACCAAGGGGTTCTGAGGGACACCGAGGGACCCTGAGGGACACCAAGGGGCTGTAGGACACTGAGGGATCCTGTGGGACACCAAGGGGACATGAGGGACAACAAGGGGCTTTGAGGGACACCAAGGGGCCCTGTGGGACACCGAGGAGCTCTGAGGGACACTGAGGGACCCTGAGGGACACCAAGAGGCTCTGAGAGACACCAAGGGGCACTTTGGGACACTGAGAGGCCCTGTGGGACACCAAGAGGACCTGAGGGACACTGAGGGGATCTGAGGGACACCAAGGGACCCTGAGGGACACCAAGGGATCCTGAGGGACACCGAGGGGCTGTGGGACACCAAGGAGCTCTGAGGGACACCAAGGGGCTGTGGGACACAAGGGGGCCCTGTGGGACACCAAGGAGCTCTGAGGGACACCAAGGTGCCCTGGAGGACACTGAGGGACACTGAGAGGCCCTGAGGGACACCGAGAGGATCTGAGGGACTCCAAGGGTTTCTGAGGGACATCAAGGGGCCCTGAGGGACCAGGCTGCGTGGTCATGGCCACCTCCTGCACCCCCTACTCCTTACCGAATAACGGTGGGGTAGAGCTCCCCCGTGTAGAGGAAGACGCAGTTGAAGGATGAGGCCAAGCAACCCTTCCCAAAGACGGCCAGGGCGGTCCGGAGCGTCCGGAGGTCTGGGGTGGGGGGGTTGGGGATGAGGACAGGACATCCAGGATGCCCTTTGGGGTCACTTGTTGGGTTGGATTGATGGGGTGGGGGTGGCGATGAGGTGGTAGGAGACCCCAAACACCGGGACTTCAAGCCAATCCCTCGGCCCAAGAGTTGGGTTGAGATGGCTTGGCCCACGCAGATGGGTTGGAGATGAAGGGGGACACCATGGCCACCACCACCACCACCCCCACTTCAGCCCTCACCTCGTGGCACCAGGATGTTGGCCAAGATGGCCAAGCCAGCCAGGAGGAGGGCAAGGGATTGGGTGAAGCGCCTGCCCACAAAGGTGATGGTGAGGATGGAGACCAGTTTGGCCGGGATGTCCACAGCCCCGAAGATGAGCTGGATGATGTAGATGTTGAAATCAAAATTTTGCAGGTCCATGGCCAGGCCGTAGTAGGCGAAGCTGGTGGAGAACCTAGGCCAAGAAGAGGGGGTGGGGGTGTGGGTGGCAAACGTCACCGGTGGGGAGGTGTGGGGTGGGGGTGGGAGGGTCACGTGCCGTCCCCTGGCCCATGGGACCTGGCCAGAGCTTCTTCCTGGAGCCCGTGTGGCCCAAGAGACCTCTGTGGACCAAGCCATGAACCCGTGATTCAGTTTCCCTTTCCAATAAGGTTCAACAACGCAGGGGATGGATGGACAACCCCACCCCCGATGTCCTCCACCGCCGGACCTACCACACGAAGCAGAGGCAACAGGAGATGCGGCGCACGACGGGTGTCCGGACCAGGTCAACCACCGTGTAGCGACTCCTGGATGAAGGCATCTCCTGCTGCATGTAGGACCTCAAGGCCTAGAGGGAGGCGGTGGGGGGGGGGGTGGGTTTTGGGGTGGGGATGGGTGTTTAAGGGGCTCAAA